TCGCACGGAAGCGGACCTCGAGGTTGCGGAAATGCGCGATGAGATCCGCGACCATGGAGAATGAGGCCAGGTCGGGGAAGAGGAACGGGAGGAGGAGGCGGCCAAGGGTGGCACAGGATGGGGACGAGTAGCGGGCAACGAGCAGTGCGGTGCGGTGAGCAGTGCAGCGAACAGCTCGGCGAGCAGTGCGACGAGCAGCGGGCAGCGAGCAGCCAGCGATGAGCAGCGGGCAGCGAGCAGCGCAGAGAGGAACGTGGCAAGCAGCGCGGCTGCAATGCGGCGAGCTGCAGGCAGTGAGGAGGCTGGCGGCATGCGAGCGGGCCGCGGCGAGCGTGCTAGCGATGGGTGAACGGGTAGGCAGCTGGCTGGTGGTGCGCAACGGGTAGCGAGTAGTGGGCAGCAGGGGGCAGTGCAAGCATTGGGCTACGACTAGGGCGCAAGGCTAGGTCAGCAGAATAGGGCCTAACTTAGGCTAGGGGTGTAGTCTAGGGCAGGAGGGCAGCGGGGAGCACCTAGGGCGGAAGTGTGGAGGCTAGGAACTAGCCTAGCTCGATACCATATCGTCGTGTGAGAATTGATCGCTGAAACAAGGACAAGGACAGAGTTTGTATCTAGGTGTTGTACCCACTATAAACTGCACCTACATAGCTAGGCTATAGCTCATATTTGCCCAGCACATATATATGAACTCTAACATACCACACTAACCACACTACAGCAGATAGCCATGGGCAGCTATGTAGTTCGGTTGGATATTGGGGGGTAGGCGCGGATTGCCCCCCTTGTGAGTCGTGGTTATTGGGAAGTCGACTAAAAAGTCGTTTCCTTGAAAGGCATCATGGCCCTTGGACCATTGGGAAGAGGTTCGTACGAATTTGTGGGGGCCTGTGCCATGCTATCTTGGGAGGGGCGGTGTACGCACACAGCTCATTGACGACTTTCACTTAATTCGGCAGTGACCTCGCCATGAGATAGACAGCCGAGCGCCCTTCATCGGCCCCGCGTTGCCAGCTCTTCATCACATTTGCCGTGAAAATTCACGCTCACATCTACAGTGGACAGCGGTGAATGGCAACCACGAACCACAGCTTCACCATGTTTTTGGTAACCATCCTGCTAGTCGGGGCGTCTTTAGCAGTGATTCCGGCATGAAAACATTCTTTAGTTCATGGCAGCAGCTTGGATGGGGGCTGAAGTTGCGCGCTCCTTGATAGCCTTGTGCTTGTCGATCCTTGACACCAAGCCCTCAGTTCGTTTTAGGCCACACTGAATTTCAGGGCCGGTACATAAAGGCACTTGAAAGCACCTGAAAGTCAGGGTTGGTACTGGTTTTCTTAACCAGATAGCCCCGTTTTTCCCAGATTCCAACGCTGATTTCTCAGGGTCGGTAAACCAAAACACCCTGGAAATCAGTAAAATCAACAACCTGATTGACACACAAGCATAGTAGATAGGAGGCATAGTATAAGGGGGCATAAGAAGGACTCGGGCACACGGGAACCAGGTGGAGGGCCACTTTCGGCTCCGGTCCCCTGTCGGGCGGGGGACGGCGAGCAACATAAACGGGGGGCCCACAACTGAGGTCTAGGGGCAGGGAACGGCAATGGGGTGGTGCGAGCCTCGGCTGGGGATGGCGGCACAGGGATCAATCAAAACGACGTGCCTGCAGGGGGCGGGGACAGTGTCGAGGGCATGGAACGAGCAACGCAGACCTCTCGTGGAACATCAACCACACGAGTCATACAACCGGGGGCTGGCCGGCAGCCGTAGTGCCGCCCACTGAGCGTGGATAGAAGTGGATGAGTTTAGCAACCGCTGACAAGAGGAGGCGGTGCTATGGAGTGGGTGATGCCACGCCGAGGAGTGGGGGCAAAGGGAGCGTGGCTGCTGGGGGAGCTGACGCGTGGGGTATGGGAGCCGGCCTCGGTCTTGGAGCAGCAAACGCACACTGCCGACATACAGAACCCATAGTGTTTTTGGTGAAAATCGTCCGTAAGTCAACGGGGGGGGGGTCGATTCGGCCAAGGAGGACTTGCGGCAGCATCGCCGTGGAGTCGGTCGACCGATGGTGTACGTGGCCTTGGGCTCCGACAACCGCCCATCAACGGATCCGCGTTTGGAGCGCCGCGGCAGGTCGGCCTAGGGGGGCGGTCAGGGGGGGGCGACCTCTCAACGGTTGGTGACAGTCTTCGATTGGGAGGACAGGCCGGGTGATGGGTAGGCTTTGGTGGTGGGTTGGGTCACGGTGGGCATGGTCTCCAGAGTCCCGACGCGGCAGCAGAAGTGGATGGCGGATATCGTCACCTTCCATAAGGCAACTCGAGGCCTTCTAGGGGAGACGTTGGAGGCGGGTTGTGATGGCTGTGGCGAGGGAGGGGGGAACCCATCAGTCAGGGGGAGAACGGCGCTGGGTTCCGGAGCAGACACTGGCGGTGAGGAACAACCGGGACACTGCACACAGGCCTTGGGCAATGAAATGGAGGACGTAAAACATAGATGGCAGGACTGGGATGGCAACGGGCTGGGGCTGGGGGGGGGGGGCTGAGGAGCGTGCACAAGGCGCGACGGCATTTCAAAACATTGGATTCAGCCGTGGAGATATGGATGCGGTTGATTTCCGTCAAGCAGGCGGAAGAGGAGGCACGGGAGCGGAAGCACCACCCCGGTATAACACAATGCAGTCAAACCTCACCTGGGGCATGACAATTGCGCCTTCTGCTCCACTAGCCGGCGCCCGTCCACCACCCTTTGACTTGTCTAGCTTGATGCGGATAATGAGGGAGAATTACAGTACAACGCCGCCAACGTTGACATGGGAGTGAACGACGTGCCAGAGCCGGCCCCACGCGAAGAAGGGGTGGGCGGGGAGCAGAGAGGTGAGGCCGGCGTGGCTCTCAGGGATGTGCTGCCATTGCCATGGCCAGACACGGGTGGCTTCGCAGATGCAGAGGACAAGGACGCCGAGGGTGGGTACGGGGAACAGTTTCTCGGGGAGGAGGAGGACTATGCGGGAGGAGAGGCTGAAGTGGACGACGATCTCGAACACCCAGGCATCGGGATACATGTTCCCACGGGATTCCACCAGCACAGACGCACTAGAATGTGAAGATTGTACTGGCAACAAACATCATAACACAAATCAAGTAGTGCGTTCGGATATAAAAATACGTGTAAAGAAATGGATGAATGTGGACGCTTAAAAAAATACAGTGGACACAATTTACCTTGACATGCATGTGCGCATGTACAATGGCTCCTCAAACTCCATTCCTGGGTGTCCCGCGAAACGACACAATACACGCATGCACGTCACGTCTAGGTGCAGAGTGCGTGGATGTTTTTGCAAGAATACAATTCACGCAACGCAAAGTGACATGTAGCTGCGTACGAACTATGTGTAATTTTGCTCAATACAATATGCGTTTCTATATCGCAAATGGTCTTGTGTTTCATTGAGTAAAATTGCTTCTTTAATGTTTTTTTTTTTACCGTACGATGATAATGTTAGTATTTTGTTTGTTAAATTAAGCTGGTTATAATTGAGCACCTTTCTATCCAACGAACTATAGGGAGCGGAACACAGGGCTGAGGCTGCCCATCTATTTGTTTGTTGAATTCTGTTTCACTCCGCGCGCTATTCATTTTACCGGGATTCGCCTATTTCTCGTATTTCTCTCTCTCTCTCTCTCTCTCTCTCTCTCTCTCTCTCTCTCTCTCTCTCTCTCTCTCTCTCTCTCTCTCTCTCTCTCTCTCTCTCTCTCTCTCTCTCTCTGGGTTTGGGCTCGACGCGCTTATGAAACTCACTCGCGTTTTCATGGTATTGTAAACTATTGTAGTGGTGGGTACGACACTACCTACATGAAATAAATGTTCAAGGCGGCATGTTGTTGTAACAGAGTGCATGATTTTGCGAGTGATTGGCTGCCATTAGAAAACCCCGTAAACCATTAGCAGGAAAAACTGACAGCGGAAATTTGGGTCGTCCTCGAGCAGAGGCCAGGTATACATTCGGCACAAAGAGAATACAAGTAGCCGATGTTCGTAGGTGTGCTATTCCCTTGTCGAAGTGGGTATGGGGGGAGAGAATTGCCGGGCGAAGGTGTGACATGTCATGTGCAAGGCTTTCTTATAATTTTATGCCACCCTATAATTTCAACGTATTTATGCCCCAAGACTAACTAGAATGCACTTGGCAGCGGGGGACTTAGCCAAATCCTTTGGGTAACGAGGGGTGCAGGAGGATTGCCTCTGCCAGTGGGGGACTTCACCATTTTTTTGGGATTGCGTGAGGGCTGCGGGGGGAATGTCTTTGGCAATGGGGGACTTGGACGCATTAGTGGGTTGCGAGGGGTATTGGAGGAAGGACTATCGGATTGGGGGGAAACTTTAGGTTGGGAAGTGGAAATTTTTTCGTAGCGGGGGATCGCATATGTGATTGTATAAGGGTGGACGTACACAACACTTTTCTACATCAGGGTCCTCTATACATGTTTTTATATATAAGGGTAAAAAAACTAAACCAATTATAAAAACAAGGGTCCAACACCCACCACGACCTTATTATAACGGCCATGAGGGTATTTTTCTCAGATATCTAGAGGCTTGATCCACACTCTTGTTGTGTGTTAGCGGGCCCTCATAGCCCTTTATGGGATTGTTATGAAGGAGGTACATGTGTGTTGCTGGCCAGCCGTCAGCATCCACGCCTTGAACAATCACTTGTCGGGATCCCCCCTCCATGAAGAGCCGCAGAAATGTAGAAAGGCGCTCACTGAGGTTGCCACCAAAGTCATCGCCGCAGTCAACGTAGCGAGACTCGACGAAGCTGGTGGTGTGTGCGATTTGAGACTGGACGACGCCGAAGTCAAGCTGCAATGGGGGGAAAAAACAGTATTGCTGTAACTTGTGAAAGCTTGTCTTGGGAAAAAAAGCGGTTCACAAGACTGTCCATTGCCGCTTGGGAAAGAAACTGTTCACAAGATTGTCCATTGCAGCTTCTTATAATTTTGGGCCACCCTGTAATTTCAGCGTAGTTATGCCCCAAGACTAACTGGAATGCACTTGACCACTTCAGGAGGTCAAGCTTTCATACGGTAATTTCAGGTGCCAAGATTGTCTCAATATCACTTTCACAATAATCGCACCAAATCGGTCTTACATCAGATGCCCGAACGATTTGCGCATTGAAGTACCAAACAGTTACGAAATTTACAAAGCTTCGTGAATTCGCGAAACAAAACCAAATCAAATGGTTGGAATGTTTTTACGAAATGATTGGCTGGTTGCCGCATCTAGCGAATTTTGTTGGCGAGACAAGCATTTGCATGGCAGCAAAATGATATCGAGGACCAGAAACTGCAAATCTGGTACATGCTTTTAGCATATACAAAATCGAATCCGAAGATTAGTTTTGAATGCAAAAATCGATTTCGGAAAAAAATGTTGAAATCGGGAAAAACCATGCGATCCTGCAAAACGGACGCAATGTACTGTTAGAAAACCATAATGAATAAACAAGAGAGAACAAGTAAGATATAGGGTTGGGTTGTACTCTCTAAGAACATACACCTATTCTAGCCTATAACTTCTCCATGCAAAGTACGTATAAGTTGACACACCCCCTAGGCTAGATAAGGGGTAGTGCGAAGCAAGAAGCACACAGCTCAGAATGGCACTACTATTCCAACCTCTGAGACAGGGGTCCGAAGACCACTCAGCAAGAGTACAAACAAGACAGGAACAAACCAGGGTGGTATTACTAGTCCGACCACTGGAAGAGGAGCCACAAGGCCAGTCTGAAAGACATATATAAAGAGGAGTACACAATCAAGATCCTAGCAAGTGAGAGTCTACATGAACTAGCACAAGCTGCAAGCAGTGCCGCTGATGATCTTTACGCGCAAGCGCCTTAGTATAGATATTAGCTGAGTTGGCAACGGAGGCCAAGTGTACGACGCGGGCATGGCGGCGCTGCTGTATCGTAGCTGGATGTGCTTCGCTCTGCCCTCAAGTCGAGGCTCCTGACACACGAGGATCATGGCCCTGTTGTCAACGTACAGGACCAGGGCAGAGCTAGGCCGCTCACCTTAGTCGGTGACCAAGAATGTCAGCCAGCGGAGCTCCTGTGACGCCATGGCACCGACGTAGATCTCAACCTCACAGCTAGACTGGGCAACATATGAGGAGCGAGTGGACCTCCATGAGATGGCACCCGAACCAAGGCTAAAGCAGTAGCCCTGGGAGGACCTGAGGGTCACAGCGTCGTTTGCTCTAGAAGCGTCGGTGTGCCCAGTAAGGACCACTGGCCTGCGTCCTCCTAGCACTAGCCCCATGCCCGATGTACTCGCTAGATAACACAAAACCCTCTTGGCAGCCGACCAGTGCTGTGGTCGGTGTATGCCGGTGGCCACAAAGCAAGCTAGGATGCTGAGAGGGTATGCGAGATCGGGACGAGTGCAAGTCGTCAGGTACATGAGGCAACCCACCAACTCTGCGTAAGGACCACTAGGCTCTTCAAAATCATTCGGAACTAGAGCCGAGAGCCTGTGGTCTACGAGCAGAGGTGTAGGCTCTGCAAAGGAGACCTGAAGACCGAACCGTTGAAGGACCTGGGACGCCAAGTGTGACTGTGTGAGAGTGATGGTGCGCGCTGCCTGGGGCGGGGAGCGGTGCAACTCTCTGTCAGTGCGTGTCTCCGCTCCCTCCGAAGGCCAGTGGTCCCGTCTGCAGTACAAGACACGTATGTAAACAAAAAAAAGGTTGATCACATGAAAAGAGGTCGCAGAAGACGGAAAGAACTGCAGGTCAACTAGGGTGGCACGTAGCGTGTCGTGCCACTCATGGGGTGGCTGTCGCAGGCCGTAGACTAGGCGCCGTAGGAGCCACTGTGTCCTAGGAGGGAAGGTACAAGTGAAGCCCTGAGGGCAGTGCAGACCTGCTCGTGTAGGCTGCCCTGAAGAAATGCTGTGGAGAAGTCGAGGGAGTGGAGCTCGTAGTCACGCTGTACTGCTACATGTAGCAGCGCCCGAAGAGGAGTAATCTTCGGGATCGGGGCAAAGTTCTGAAAGAAGTCCACCCCCTCTCGGTGACTGAAGCCTCTGGCCACGTAGCGTGCCTTGAAGACAGGCGGCTCTCCAGGGGGGCGCTTTACCTTGAAGAGCCATCGGCCGTCGACTACGTTCACCCCAGGTGGGGGAACTGCGTCGACGTAGGTGCCGGTGGATCTCCAAGATGCCATCTCCTGCTCCATGGCAACTATCCACTGAGAGGCCCAGGGTCCTGCAGTTGCCTCAGCTTAAGTGCGAGGGGTCGGGATGACAAAGGCGTCTGGGTCGCCCTCAGGGACTAGCAGCATGGAACAGAGATGGGGAGCAGCCTCGGACAGGAAAGCAAGCTCGTACTGCCTGTCCTCTAGGACGTCACTTCCAAGGGCAGGAGCACCCCCGACGGACGGAGGACGGACAAGGTCACAGACTAGAGCGGTGGCGTAGTCAAGGTGGCAGGTAGAGGCGAAGTCAGCGGCAGCAGCGACAAGAGCGTCAAGACTGGAGACAGGAACGGACGGGTCGGTAACGAGGGAGGCAAGGACCCGAGGAACAAGGGGACGAGCAGCTCGAAGGTAGTCAGACAGAGCGTAAGGCACGATAGCGAGCGACGACGAAGGAGGCGAAGGCAGGAAGGGAGGACGAGACGCGTGGGAACGAAGCAACATGGGGTGAGAACATGGAACAGGAGAGACAAGATGAGCACGAGAGGGGCGGCGATACTAGACGTGAGACAGAGGCGTCAGGTTAGGAGACAGAGGAGGAGTAACAGGAGGGGAACGCGGCGATAACGCACCGGGGACGAGTCCAGGGAAGGAAACACAGGACCGTGAGCAGGAAGTGGAGGGGGCAGTGGGGGAGGCGCAGGCGAGCGGTTGGGGGAGCGAAGGCCGAGCAGGCAAAGGGCGGACACCAGCAGCGACTGCAGCTGCTGCTGCTCGACACCGACAACTGGACCGCTAGCTGCACGGCAACTACCTCCGTAACACTCCACTCTAGCACCCCCAGAATGAACACACCCAGAGCGAGAACCCTCTCCGAGCCCACCAGGACAAGCCACGACTAGAACCCCAGGGCTAGCACCCTCCTCAACGCCAGCACTCCCAGAGTCCACGAATGGTTGCTGCTGCTGTGACGGCGGCGGCTGCTGCGGCGGTGGCGACTGCTACTGTGGCGGCAGCAAGTGCGACAGAGGAGGAGACACCGTAGGGGGGACAAGCGGGGAGAGCTGCGCCACAGGGCCATCAGACTCAGCCGACAACTCGACCGGGACAACCGACGGGAGGGGAGTGACGTGAGACACACCTGACGGAGAAGGATGGGGAGGAAGGTGAGCAGGGGCTACCGGGGGAGTGGGGACCAGAAACAAGAGAGGGGAAACTGGGAGACACCGATGGGGAAAGCGATGGTAAAAGGAGACAGACTCGTCGAAAGTGGCATCACGGGAGTGAAAGAAGCTGTGAGACGGCGGCTGGTAAAAGTGCAAGTCAGACGAGTCAAGGGGGAAACCGAGGAAGACACTGGGGACAGTGCGGGCATTGAGCTTGTCCATGCCAGAGGCACGAACGTGAGCGAGGCAGCCCCAAACGTGGAATGCGGGTGCGTCACCAAGAAACCCGATCCAAAGAAAGGTCGGCGAAACCTGCGGCCGTTGGGAGCGCGGCCAGAGGTTAAGCTGGTGAGCGGCGTAGCGAATGGCGAACGGCCACAGAAAATGGGGTGCACCGGCATGAATCATGGAGGTACGAGCCACCTCCATGACTAAGCCGATGTGTCACTCAGCGACTCCATTCTGCTGCGGGGAGTCCGGTAGGGTGTACGACTGGGTGATGCCCTCTGCACAACAGAACTGTCCAAGCCGACCAGAGGCGAACTCGCCGCCACGGTCGGAGTGGAGACACAGCACCGGGAGACCGCGGTGGAGGCGCGCAATTACGACCCACGGAATGAGAACGTTAGGCACGTCGACCTTCCGCTCCAAGGAAAAAACCGTGGTGTAGCGCGTGTAGTCGTCAACGAGCACTAGAAAGTAGTGCTCGCGACGCAGTCCAGGGACAGGGGCTGGGCCTCAGACGTCCAGGTGCAGGGTCTGGAGGGGTGCAGTGGCAGTACGAAGCGAGGATGAGCGAGGAGCACGGCGAAGCTGACCCTCGACACAGGGGGTGCACGGCGGCGCAGGCGAGGGAGGCAGGGTAGGAAGCGACGTAGGGAGATATAGAACCAGACCGTGCTGAGACATGTGACGCAGACGCGGGAGTGCAGGGTGACCTAGACAGTGGTGCCACTGAAGTGACGGGTGAGTGAGCGACCGACACGTGCAAGCTGCAATGACCTGGGTAGACGCAGGGCCCGGGGAGGACATGCCAACCGGGGGGGAAGCAGTATCCAGCGCAAAGAGGCCAGACACCGGGTCTCGAGGGAACGTCGCAAGGGGGGAACCTGAGGTGGCCTCGGTACAGACAGCGTACCGCTCGTGACCAGGAAACATAGTGGTGACGCCGAGGTCATGAAGACAACCGACACCAACTAAGTTCCTGGAGAACGAAGGGATGTGCAGGCCTGTAACGGAACCCGAGGGGACCGTTGAACAGGGAAGGGTAGTGTAGCTGCGAGCAATGACAGGACCAGAAGAGGGGTCAGCTAGTGCGACAGCGGCAGGCGTGACAAGCGGCGTGAGTGTGGCGTGGTCGGGAAGAAGCAGGCTGACGCACCGGAGTCAAGTATGAAGGACATCGAAGCAGTAGCGACAGACGTAGGAGGAGCGAGGGTGGAGCCTAGACTAGACAAGGCAATCGGTCTTACGACTGACGCAGCAGGGGTGTCTGTACCACACAGGTGCTACGCCTAAGCTAGAGAACATAGGGTAATAAGATCTAGACACACTAGAAGCGTCAGCATACAGAGAATGCAAGGCAGAACTAAGTCAAAAACAGGCACACCGTGGCACAGCAGACTGGGCCAGTCAGGGAGGTCCGTGGCCGGGCCAAAGCGGCGACGGAAGAGGTCGTCGACGCGGCGGAAGCAGCGGACGGTCGGGTGCGAGCGGCGGCACACAGTGCCACGGAGGGGCCTGGTCTAGAGCTGGTCTGGCAGCCCACAGCACCGAAGCCGCTGGTAGACGCCAAGCTGCGAGGACTGCCACCACGACCACCACCTCCAGGGGCTTCCGGCCATCCCGGCGGGAGGCGGACCCACGGCTGCTGCTGCTGCTGCGCCTGCTGCTGCGGCTACTGCAACTGCTGCTACGGCTGCTGCTGCTACTACTACCGTTGCTGCTGCTGCTGCTGTTGCGGTTGCTGCTGCGACTGATGCGGCTGCTGCTGCTCCTTGATACCTGCCCCAGCCCCCTCGTCAGAACTGTTGTCGCCGCCCCCACCACCACGCCCTCCCGTGGGGCTGCGACGGCCCCGACGCTGTCGCTGCTGCTGCGGAAAGGCCGCCGTTGTAGTCTCAGTGATAGGAGCAGCCGTAGCGACCGCGTCGGTAACGTCGGCACACGTGCACTGGGAGGGAGCACAGCCCTGAAAGATAGGGACTGCCGCAACACCGCTCGACTAAGCGATAGTGCGCTGGCGAGTCTCTATCTCAGAAAGGGCAACGACAAGAGCGGTCAGGGTGAGGTCACAAGGGTGCTGGCTAAGGAAGTGGTCGCGGGCAGTGGCTAAGCGGTCAGGCAAGCGCGTGGCAATAAGGTACAGGGTAGCGCAGAACGACGCGGGGAAGGCAGTGAGCTGGGCAGTAGTGCTAACAGCGCGGTAGCTAGTCTCTAGTGCACAGCGAGATCAGCGATAGTGGGGAAAGCAGAGAGATCAAGGAAGAGCATGGGGAGGATCAAGCGTCCAGCTGAGGCGGAGGCATGCGTGAAGTAGCGTGCAACTACTGCATCTAAGAAGTCTTTGGCATTCGCGACAGCAGTGAAACGCGGGCGCTCAGATAGAGGAAGCGCATGACTAATGGCAAGTTGTGCTACAGCATCGCGAGAATCCCAGACAGCGCGAGCGAGCGTAGCAGCAGCAAAGGCCTCACTCTCAGCAGTCGTGGGGTCAGCAGGGAGGGGATCAGGTGTGAGGGGTGGGGAAGCAAGCCATCAACATGCATAGCCAGGGAGTGCCCATCATGGCGCTAACCTGTCAGGTACCGGCGAAGATCGACAAGCCAAGCAGCGAAGTCGATCGCGTGCCCGTCCACTTCCAGGCGTAGCATGGCGTCCGCCATCGCACAACCGCAGCGACAGCGGGACATAGCGGCACAGGAACGCAGGTACGCAGGTGCACGGCGATACAGCGACGTGGCGACAGGGGCAGCCTGCGGGCGCGGAAGGGGCCGGCCATGCGCACGAGAGGCCGGGCAGGTGGGTAGGAGGGGCCAGCTAGGCGGTAGTGGCCGGCTAGGCGTGAGGGTCCGGCTGGGTGAGAGGGGCCGGCTAGACGAGCGAGGGACCGGTGGTGGCGCGAGAAGGGGGGGCGGCTAAGCGCGAGGGGCTGGCTAGGAGCGAGGGGCCGGCTGGGCGCGAGGGGCCGGTGACGGCGCGCGGGGCCGTCGAGGACGCGAGGGGCCAGCTAGGCCGCGAGAGTTCGGCTACAGCGCGAGGGGCCAGCGACGGCGCGAGGGGCCAGCGACGGCGCGAGGGGCCAGCTACGGCACGAGTGAGGGCCGGCAGGGCGCGAGGGGCCGGCTGGGCGCGAGGGGTCAGCTAGGGCGCGAGTGAGGGCCGGCAAGGGCGCGAGGGACCGGCTAGGCGCGGGGGGCCAACGACAGCGTGAGGGGCTGGCGACGGCGAGAGGAGCCGGCTACGGCGCGAGGGAGGGCCAGCTAGGGGGCGAGGGACCGGCTAGGCGCGAAGGGGCCGACTAGGCGTGAGGGGCCGGCGACGGCGCGAGGTGGGGCCGACTAGGGCGAGAGGGGCCGGCTGCGGCGCGAGGGGCCGGCCAAGCGCGAAGGGCCAGCGACGGCGCGAGAAGCCGGCTACGGCTCGAGGGAGGGCCGGCTAGGCGCGAGGTGGGGCCGGCTAGGGCGCAATAAGGGCCGGAGAGGCGCGGTAGGCTAGGGCTCGGGGCGGAAGCGGGTGGGGGGGACCTAACCTGCTCTGATACTATATTAGAATACTAGAATAAATAAACAAGAGAGAACAAGCAAGCTATAGGATAGGGTTGTACTCTCTAAGAACATACACCTATTCTAGCCTATAATTTCTACAAGCAATGTATGTATAAGTTGACATGTACCGAATCCTAATGTTCATTTCTCAGGATGCCCGAACTCGTGGGTTGAAAACGATGTTATTTTTGCGTCAAAAAAAAAAAAAAAAAAAAAAAAAAAGCCGAGGAGGAAACTTGGCGCTCTTGCCAATGCGCACCTCTGTCAAAAGAGGGCACAAAACTTGGCGCTCTTGCCAAGTTTCGAGGTCCTCAGGGCAAAGTTAGACCGCGTGTCAGGCGGTTGGTACAGGTTTGTCAAGCTGACCCGTGGGACAGGTCGACTGAATGGCCACTGCGCGACCATTGACGGCAGGACCTCCGAAAGTGTCCCCGGATGGCACTAGCGAGGTTGTGCGCAAAATATGCGACTGCCACTCCGCACGACCAGATTTATTCACGATTCGCTAGTTGCAAATAAACGTCGTGGGGCATGCTAATTGGATCTTTTTATTTCGCAGCTTTTGGACTGTCAACTTATGCGACTTTGAAGTTGACTGGTAGACGGGAATTTTACCGGTTTTAGAAAGCATTCCATGTTGGTGCCAGCTACAAACTTCCCTGACACCCGGGCAGTATCTGCTTCCACGGTACAGGTGGGCTGTACTACCTGCTTGACACGCAGTCTAGCTTGCCCTCATACCCTCGCGCCCAAGCTGAAATATTAGCTAGGGCCAATTTTCGTTAACACAATTTCGCCACTTCGATCCCTCGTCAGCCAATCAAATTCTACCGACCCAACCACCTCAGCAGTGCAATATGCAACCTGCGGGTCGGGTTTTTAATTCAACACTTGTAATCCACCTCTTGTGTATGAGCAGACCCTTTATAAGAAATGTGATGCCACGTCAAACTCTGCAAGGTATGATGGGGTGTCCAGCGCGTACGATTTTGTTAAAACCATACCCGACCGTTCTAGATTCGTTATTGATCCTTCTGATCCGTGAGGCACCTCACCTAACCACAATCAAACGTATGCGATGGGCACGCGCTGGCTTGTCCTTTTCCGAAGATTTTGGTACGATACCGTATCCCCCGTATACTGGGCAGTGATTCGTTTCTTGTAGCTCTAGGAGTTCGAGCCCCCGTTCACGAAAGTCTTTCGGGAGGGTTGCAAAGTCGGCATTTATGAGTGTAAAAACTCAAGTGAGACATTTTCAACAGGGTGTACTGTGATGGTTAGCTTGGTTTTGTTCAGGGGATGAGGTTTCGCATTCGGCCATGAAACTTTCCGCTAAGCGTAATCTCTCATGTTTCGGTTTTGGCTTGCTATGTTCTCCGCCCACCGAATGAAGCCTCTTTGGTCCATGTTCCAAATCTGATGTCCATACTGGCAGAATCACAGTGGGAGAAAGCACGTCAATTCAGCAACACCGAGCCGAGTGAGGCAAGCAGGCTATTGGTGTACAGGACACGTGTTATTAGTTCATAATTCACCCCAGATTTCGCCAAACTGAATGGAGGGCCAGATGGAAATCCCTCCGGTTTGATTTGGGGGAGCAACTTCCGCTGTCTCGGCTTGCCGAACCAGCCGGTATGCTGCCGCACCTCCCCCACCACACCAAACCCAAAGCCAGAGTTCTGCCACAGTCGATGTGTGCGTATCTGCCGAGCCTCTCTCACCCTTTCCACACCACAATCATCACCATGCCTCCACACCTAAGGGCGTGTAGCCTACGGTTTCGTCAGCCTAGTTCCGGAACTTAGTTCCGAACTCGATATACGCGAGTTTTGTTTGTCGCTGGAATATCGAGTTTCGAAACTCAACTATGATTGCTGTCCCTCAGTGGAACATCGAGTTTCGAAATTGGATGTTCCATCGTTCAAACGTTTGGACTACGTGCGAAGGGTACTTTGCGAAGAAACGAAACCCCAACCTTACGTAAGCCAATCACACTCTAGGCATGACGAATCTTGCAGCACACATTCTGATTTGTCACTTGCCTCGATTGGTGGTTCAGGCGCGCGAACAAATGCGATCGTTGATTTGGTGTATTTTTCTCGCAGGACTCGCATGGCCTTTTCGCACAGAACTGGAGGGAGAATCTCGAACGGCCGTCCGGACGACCGTTCGAAACTGGCGTCCGGATGTCGCTGGAACATCGAGTGTCGAAACTGAAGAATCCTTCGCAACAAACTTAGCGAATTAGCGTGCGAGTTGTGGCGAGATTTGTCACCACACCAAAACTCGGACGGAACTCAGTTCCGAAAACGTATGCTACACGCCATGGCAGCAGCCCGGGCCCGGAGCAGCGACACACGCAGAACCGTTCATGAGACTCCCAAGGGCAGTGAGACACTTCCCCCCCCCCCCATGCTTGCAGCTGATGCAACCCCCGAGGTTCCCCAGCCATACTGGAAGCACTCCTCCACAGAAGCAGAGCACTCCTAATTACATGACACCTCAGCTACATCAGCCTAAGAGCTTGCTGGCGATGGAAGGAATGAAACGTCAGCGGCTCGATCAGCAATTCAACCACTAAAAGAGGTCCTTCATCCCCTCCCTGGATCCAAACAGAGTATTTTAGTCCTCGCCTGAGCCTCGCGAGTAGTTTCCTAGACTTCGAAGGCGACATCGGGCCAGTCGAGATGGACGACAGAGAGCCAGTGGAGGATCTCGTTGGCGAGGCAGAAGGTTACCCAAGCGCTCAAGTAGAGGCCTCCATCTTCGGGTCCGAGCCAGAACCAGAATACTGCAAGTACAGCACGGGACACATACGAGAAGAAATAGGGTTCGATGGCCGGTACCTAGACTTCCGTCCCGAGAGCACGAAGATCGGTCAGATTCAGTCCTTCGGGTGCTTGATACTCGTCGAGGAAAGCTCTTTTCGCATCCTCGCACTTAGTCGAAATGCAGTAGAAATGTTAGAGATTGACGCTCTTCCGGGAAACCCGAACTGGAAAGGCGCCATTGGCCTCGATGCACGTAGTCTGTTTAAACTAACAAGCGTAGCGACTATTGAGCGAGCTTGTAGCGCGACCGATCTTAACATCGTTTGCCCTATCCTCGTTAGCTCGCACCGATCCGCTAACCCGTTTTACGCTATAATGAGGCGATGCGAGGAAGGGCTGATGATAGACTTCGAGCCGTTGAAGTTCGATCCCCCGTCAGGTCCCGTTACCGGAGCGCTCGCGTCTCACAAGCTTGCAGCGCGTGCTGTCGCGAGGCTGAAATCGCTGCCTGTTGGCGACGTGCGGTTGCTGTGTAACACTGTCGTGGAGGAGATTGGCGAAATGACGGGTTACGATCGCATCATGGTGTACAAGTTCCACGAGGACGAGCACGGCGAAGTGCTGGCGGAGTTTCTTAACAACCAGAAGATCGAATCTTATCTGGGATTGCATTATCCGGCCACAGACATTCCAATGGTGGGTCCGAACACACCCCATGTTCAGGGACACAGGAACATAGTTATAATGTGGAATTTATGGGTTGCCTCTGGTGAAATTGCAGTAAGCTTGACAGGGCAGTTGTGCCATGGATTTTGCCACTGGTGGCATGTACAAGAGACGAAAAGAGGTTGGCACAACAGACTTGGAGAAAGGAAAGGACCTCCCTGACGTGCTCCGCTTCATCATTCGTGTGGGCTGGCATCGACTGAGACTGACTGAGACGAACCGAATGACTGAGACTGACTCAGGGACTGAGACTGACGGAGACTGACCGAGTGACTGAGACTGACTGAGTGTCTGGGACTGACCGAGTGACTGAGACTGATCGAGACTGACCGAGGGACCGAGACTGACTGAGACTGACTGAGGGACTGAGAATGACTGAGACTGATAGAGACTGACCGTGTGACTGAGATTGACTGAGACTGACCGAGGGACTGAGACTGACTGAGACAAACTGAGGGACTGAGACCGACCGAAACAAACTGAGGGACTGAAACTGACCGAGACTGGCTGGTGGACGATGCGAAGCCGTCCGCCACTCCTTGAAGATGTGACGCTATGAGCCTGTGGATCCATGACTGTATCATACGGGCTGTATGGTGGCGTGACTGCATGGAGGCGTGACTGTATGGAGACATGACTGCATGCCTGCATGGCGGCATGCCTGTTTGGGGTCATGAGTGTATGCAATCCTGACAGCAAGGGCACCTGTCTGAGTCCTCCCGCGCTTTTCCTTGGTTGGTTTCCCTTCCCCCTCCTCCCCCTCCCCCTCTTTTCTGAGATGGCGTGCCATACGTTCATGGAGAACCGCGTGCGCATGATAGTGGACAGCAAGACGCCTATAGACACATGTCAAGATGTGTCAGCTCATTCTCCCTCGTCTCCACTTCTTCCCCCCCCCCCTTCCCCAGATGGCGCGGCGCACGTTCATGGAGAACAGGGCGCGCACGATAGTGGACAGCAGGGAGAGAGCTGAGGCAGCCCAAGGCATGGCTTCCTCTTCCTGTCTTCCCCCTCTTTTCCCAGATGGCTCGGCGCTCGTTCATGGAGAACAGGGCGCGCATGATAGTGGACGGCAAGCCACCTGTCTGTCTGAGGCGCTTTCATTCCCCCCCTCCCCCCCTCCCCAGATGGCGCGGCGCACGTTCATGGAGAACCGGGTGCGCATGATAGTGGACAGTAAGGCGCCAGGCGTGGACGTGCTGCAGCAGGGCGCGCTTCCGGGGGGGCTGTCGCTGGCGCACAGCACAGTGCGTATGGTGCGCTCGTGCCATCGCGAGTACATGAGCAACATGGGAACGCTGGCGTCGCTGGTGCTAGCCATCACTGTCAGCACGGGGTGAGTGGTTCATTCTGAGTGGAACCTCCTGGCTGCATGCAGCGGTTTCTCTGGCTCGCTCCACAGCGCAGAAGGCTGTCCCTGGCGCACAGCACAATGCGAATGGTGCGCTCTTGCCACCGCGAGCACATGTCTAACATGGGCACGCTCGCGTCTCTTGTTCTAGCCATCACCGTCAGCAGGGGGTGAGTCCACTAGGTAATCTCCTGACTGTATGGAGTCTGTATGTGTCGCTCGTGCCTCCAGCAACATGGGCACGCTGGCATCGCTGGCCCTCCTCGCCATCACCGTCAGCAGCACGGGGTGAGTTGAGCGGATTCTGTGCAATCCGTCTGGACTCTTGAGAGGCCCCTCCCTGCCCTCGCTCTCTCTTCATCTTTCTTTGCCGCACTGATTTCTTCCTCCATTGCTTCCCTTATTCTCTCCCCCCCATCTCCTCCATCTCCCAGTTTCCTACTGCACTGCCTCCCTCCTTCCCTCCCTCCCTCCCTCCCTTTCTCCCTCCCTCCCTCTCCTCTGTCGATTTCTTCCATCTTCCTCGCCCCTCCGAGGTCCCCCCTTCCCCCCCCCTTCCCCCCCGAACCCCACAGGGAAGCAGAAGGCACTAGCAGCACTAGCAGCAGCAGCAGCAGCAGCAGCAGCAGCACCTAGCCATTTCGTCTCCATGTCGGAGACGGGACTTCAATTTTCAAACACCCGCTTTCCCCCCCATGTGTTTCTTCCCCCCCAACCACACAGGGAAGCGGGAGCAGCACCAGTGGCAGCAGCAGGAGCAGCACCCAACGACGTTGCCGTGGCAGGGAAGGCGGTTCGGGCCGAGCCTGGCCGGCGGCTGTGGGGGCTGGTGGTGTGCCACCACTGCTCGCCCTGCATGGTGCCTTACCCCACCCGCTCCGCCTGCGAGTTCCTCGTTCAGGTGACTCTCTCTATCCCTGTAAAACGATTTTCATGTGGTTTTATAAGCTGGCTGTGGGCCATGGGCAGTGGGCTGTGGGCTGTGGGCTGTGGGCTGTGGGGGCTGGCTGGTGGCGTGCCACCACTGCTCGCTCGCCCTCCCACTCGGTGTGCGTGCGAGTTCCTCGTCCAGGTGACTCGCGTTCTCCCTTCTCTCCCTGCCCGCTAATTCCATTCCGTTCTCCCTGCTCAATGAGGTCCCTCTCTTCTGGCACCCTGGCATTGTTATTCCACCCACACCCTTTCGCGAACCAGCTCAGGGTGATGCACTCTCTCCTTGGCTGCACTCTCAGACTCAAGGCCCGTTCCTTGTTTCTCCGTTGTCTCTTCCCGTGACCCGTCCCTTCGCAGGTCGTTGCAGTGCAGCTGACCAAGGAGATGGACCTGGCGAACCAGCTCAGCTCAGGGCCAAGCACGCCTTGAAGAAGCAGACGCTGCTGTGCGACATGCTCATGGGGGCGGGACCCACCCCCAGGGGCCGTTGTCTCAAGGCCCTTCCCGTCCATCTCCATTGTCATGTTTCCTTCACTCACTCCCACCGCTCACACTCGCAGGTGTTCGCAGTGCAGCTGACCAAGGAGATGGACCTGGCGAGGCGAACCAGCTCAGCTCAGGGCGAAGCACACTCTCCGTGGCTGCAGTCTCAAGCCCCTTCCCTTGCTTCTCCATTGCCACCATCCTCCCTCACTCCCACCGCTCACACTCGCAGGTGTTCGCAGTGCAGCTGACCAAGGAGATGGACCTGGCGAACCAGCTAAAGGCCAAGCACGCACTAAAGATGCAGACGCTGCTGTGTGACATGCTCATGCGGGAGCCCCCAGTGGCGCTCGTCACCAAGACGCCCAATATAAGTGACCTGGTCCAATGTGACGGCGCCGCATTACTCTATAACGGCCGCTGCTGGCGACTGGGGTCCACCCCATCCGAGCCCCAGGTGCGTGTAGTGGGGTGTGCGTGCGTTGCCTTGG